TTTCGATTTGTTTTTCCATTTTTTGCATAACCCAGTTTTCTTTCCTATTTTTTAAAGCAAATCATTTAAATATTTGTAAATAATATAAAAAATGTATAAAACGTTTAATTTATTGACATATATGTATAGTATATACACTAGCGAATTGAGCCATTAAAATAATAATTATTGCAAAAAAAAAACAAAATTTTACAAAAATTATTTTTACATTTTCAATTGACTTTGATAGCATTTAAATCGATTCTATTTCTATGGATTTCTCAGTCAAATTAGTCCCGTTGGAACGATGAGACCAAAGTGGAAAGTTCCAATAATACTTTTGTATTCCCTTCTAATCGAAAATGTTTACGTAACTAAAATTGAATCCAGCTCCTTTGCCATCATCTTCAATCTCTATTTTTCAGTCAAAGGCCAGTGTGAAGTTTACAAATGTTAAATGTGGATCTCTCGAACCAAGCTTGACCACCATCGATCAGTGTCGCCTTCGTGCGATTAGCCGCAACAAAACCGTCCTAAACATTTCTATTAATTTGTTGAAGGCAGCCAAAAAAATAGACCTCCATTGGCAAACGAAAGTATGGGGAAATGGCTACAAGCCCTGGTTAGGTGAATATGATATCGACTTCTGTGCCTACTTACGCAAACCAAATCATCCAGTGTTGAAAATATTGTATGACGCCATCAAGCCCTTCACAAACATAAACCATTCGTGTCCCCTTTCGGTGAGTAAGATTGGTTTAGCTCACTGATCATATGATCTATATATGCTATCTATCTAATGCAGGGCATGCTTTATATTAAGGACATGTACTGGGATATCTCCAACTATAAATTGCCTATGCCATCTGGAGACTATTTAGTGCTTCTCACTTGGAAACACAACAAAATCCCCTGCATGTACACGAATATATATTTCAATTTTAAACAGGATCTCATTTCCGATTGATTATGTTCTTAAAAAAGTAATATAAATTGAAATATCAAATTTAAATGCAATTACGTATTGTCATATATGAGTTTCTCAAAACTCAAAATAAAAGTTCCATTGTAATGCTATGATTTTTTTTAACTTGAGTATATCATAAAAGTAACTGAACCAAAAGAATATACTAATATAAAATACTTTAGACTCTGCATAATGGAATAACGGTTCAATGGACAATGAGAAACGTATGTTGCGTATTCATGCAATTAAATAATTTGGCCATTGCCATAAATATTGAAAACGGATCAGTTTTACATTAAAATTTTGTTTTTTGATTTTGTATGTAATTAATGAATAAGCGGAAATCGATAAATGGCATTTTCACCGATTCAACTGATAGAAAAATAATCACAAGACAATAATGTTAATTATACTTGAACAAAAGTATAAATATACATATATATTTGGCTTCCACAGTGCTCAATTTGCGAATTTTTAAATTAACGTTGTGCCAATGACACCAATATGAGAACGTTGAGCAGTGTTTTCGTTTATCTCCCTCCAAAAATTATGGATTTTAATTTTAATTGATGTATGTTACTTTTAGTAAATTAGTTTAATTTCATCTGTGATCTGTAATCAGAAATAGAACTCTGTTTTTATCTAAAAGAAAAGGAGTAAAAGGACTTAACTTGTTCTAAAACTGAAAAACTGACAACATTGCTCCTCGTTAAATCTGACGCAATAATATTCTAGTTTACAAATTCAAATTTGAAAAGGAAAAATTTGAATAGACTCAATATTCTAGTTTCAAATTTTCAGAAATGGGAAATTTAAAGTTGCAAGGAAATGAATTTTGCTGGCTTTCTAAAAAAATTATTAATATTTTAGATTATTTTTTCAAATGTCAGCGCATTTCATATTTAAATCAATGCTGATACGATATATACATAGAGGTCTACACGTAATTACTCCACAACTGAATTGTAACTGCGCATTAGACAAGCCAAATATATATGTATATACAAACATACATACATACATACATACATAAATTAGGAATATGGTACGAAGGCCAACTTATCAGGCATAAACCCAATTTAGGGCAGACGTCTGACAATGATTTAGTCGCTGGCCTCTTGCATCAGCCATTTGAGTTTAGCGATTAGCAATTAATTTGTCAGCTGATTAGCCTTTCGTACAACTGCTGCAATATTGCGCGCTCGTCTTTAAACTGAGTTGAATTTGAAATTCGTATTTGAAAGCGTGAGTCATGCTTGACGCGTACTTTGCTCTTAAGTCGTGTGTCTCGTGTCTCGGTGTCTCATCAGTTGTAGAGGAAATGGGCATTTTCTAATGTCTGATAAGATTTGCTGCTCGCTTTTCACTGTTATCAGCGGCTGCAGCTTCTTGGCGGATGTGGCCATGGCCATATATGGCTAGAACTGATTCGCCCATCTCAGTGCGATTGCCAATTACACATATTACTCATACGTACATTACTCATACGCCACGTAATCGCCCAGATGCCTATCGCACTGTAAATGATAGTCCAACGGTTATTTTTTACCGTTCCACCGCTACGTTACGCTAGGTCAGTTAATAGCTAAGCTGTCAGCTCGTCTGGTCTATATGCTAATTGCTACGATTTTGTAGGTGTCGATGTCGCTGTTTCTCCCTCTCCCACTCTAGCTCTCTCTTTGTCTCCGTTACTGTTGCCGTGTGATTGTCGCATAAGCATACGAAATTTATGCACCTCACGGACTTCAGTTTACCTGCCCCGCACAGTACGGCAAGTGCCGCGCATCTAACGGATCTTTCCCATCTCAATTGCATATGAGATACATCTGCTGGCTGCTCCAGTTACGCCTCAAGTTGGCTCCGCCGTATGCGCATTTTTAATGCGATTCGTGCGCTCCGCCAAACTGGCGACACAATCAATTCCAACAGCAAAAAATTAGCATCAGAACGTTCTATAACTGTTCATTGGGGCAACTTCCTTTGTCTGCGGCCAAATATGATAAGAGGAAACAATTCGGAAAGTTTCGGAGCTAAACTCAAATTGTCGAAGCTTCAATGCACTTACATGGCATGAAGTGAGAGATATTTAATGTGATGATGTATAGTTAGACAGATAAATAGATGGGCATATAGATAGTTGGAAGAATAGATAAGTAGTATAAGAGCTGGAAAGCGAATTAAGTTGCAACTAGATATGATAGATCTCTCTATATTGTTTTTTTGTATAATTCTTAACTCATATATATGTTGTATATTTAATTTATTGACTTATATGTATCTAGTATATACAATTGCGAATTGAGCCATTAAAATAATAATTGTTGCAAAAAAATAATAATTATTATTATTTCTATAACTTCAATTGACTTTGATAGCATTTAAATCGATTCTATTTCTATGGATTTGTCAGTCAAGTTAGTCCCGTTGGAACGATGACACCTAAGTGGAAAGTTTCAATAATACTTTTGTATTCTCTTCTAATCGAAAATGTTTACGTAATTAAAATTGAATCCAGCTCCTTTGCCATCATCTTCAATCTCTATTTTTCAGTCAAAGGCCAGTGTGAAGTTTACAAATGTTAAATGTGGATCTCTCGAACCAAGCTTGACCACCATCGATCAGTGTCGCCTTCGTGCGATTAGCCGCAACAAAACCGTACTAAACATTTCGATTAATTTTCTGAAGGCAGCCAAACAACTAGAGCTCCATTGGCAAACGAAAGTATGGGGAAATGGCTACAAGCCCTGGTTAGGTGAATATGATATCGACTTCTGTGCCTACTTACGCAAACCTAATCATCCAGTGTTGAAAATATTGTATGACGCCATCAAGCCCTTCACAAACATAAACCATTCGTGTCCCCTTTCGGTGAGTAAGAGACGAACGGTTTAGCTCACTGATCATATGATCTATCTATGCTATCTATCTAATGCAGGGCATGCAATATATTAAGGACATGTACTGGGACATTTCGAACTATAAATTACCTATGCCATCTGGGGACTATTTACTGCTTCTCACTTGGAAACACAACAAAATCCCCTCCATGTACACGAATATATATTTCAATTTTAAACAGGATCTTATTTTCGATTAATTATGTTCTTAAAAAATCAATTTAAATTGGAATATTAAATTTAAATGCAAAAACTGAAAATAAAAGTTCCATTGTAATGAACATGATGAGCACATATATAGTTAGATAGATAAATAGATGGACATATAGATAGTTGGATGAATAGATAAATATTATAGGAGCTGGAAAGCGAATTAAGTTGCAACTAGATATGATAGATCTCTCTATATTGTTTTTTTGTATAATTCTTAACTCATATATATATTGTATATGATGTGCATATATTTTTCAAGAGAATCTATTTTCATCGTAAGAACTTCATATATGATCATATAATATGTATATGCAAAATACATATATAAATATATTGAACCTAATGCTCAATCACTTTTATCTCTCTAAATTTGTAATCTCTAATCTCTCTATTTTGTAATCTTTATTTATTGATCTTTTCGATAATACTTTATTCCATAATTGTTCTTCTTCTGTTTTCTACAAGTTTTCGTTTCAATTCGATTTTCGACTTCCCCCATCCACTCTCTCTCAACTACTGCTTAACTTCTGCGAGCCGAGTGCAGTCAGAAAGTCGATTGACCCAGCTAAAATACATAATAAATATAAGTAAGCAAAAAATAAGAAAACACCAACTCAAAATACAAATGTGAATTTACTTTGATTTTTGCGTTGTTTCTCAACTGAATGCATTAAAGAAAACTTACGAGTCTAAGTGAATCGCTTAACGCTACAGGTGATCGAGTATGCGTACGAATATATGAGTATATCTGTATGTGTATGTGAATGTGAATGTGAATGAGTGCGAGTATTTTAAGTCTAAGTAAGTGGAATGCATACAAATTGGATCTGAATTTTGATGAATTGTGCAAAAAAATAAAACAAATATCAAAGCGTGTCGATGTCGATGTCCATTTCGATGTCGGTGTCGTTGTATATGCGTGTGTGTGTGTGCGTGTATCGTATTTAATGAGTGCAGGGTATCTGATTGGCATCCTTTAGATTGGCCAGACGCAGCTGCTCCAAGGCGATTTCATGGGCTTTGAAATGATCGCGCGTCGCCTGCTCCCATTCGCTGAGGCCCGTGGAGCTCTTCAAGGCACTTGTTGACGAGCCCGAGCTATAGGTAGAGCTGTCCGGGCTGGTATTCGAGGTGTAGCTCGAGCTGGAGCTGGAGATGGAACTGGAGCTGGCGCTGCTGCCTGCTGTCTTGATCGTGGCTGCTGGGATGGCGCTAAAAGTCTGCACGAGCTGCTGCGCCTTTTGGGGTTGCGGGACATAGCGCACGAGGAAGGGATTATGCTCGGCCAGGATATAAGCTTCAGAGCTGGGCTGACTGGGTGCACTTATCTGACTGGGTGCTCCAGACTGAATGCGCAAAAAGAAACCGTTCTGCACTTGTTGCTGCTGTGCTATGGTCTGTGGCTGAGCGGGCTGAACGGGTTGAGCGGCCTGAGCTGCCTGGGGCTTGGCATACTGATAGCTGCCTTCGGCAGATGCTGCCTTCAGCTGTTGCTGCTCGGCCTGCTGGCGCTGCTCCTCCTCCAGGCGCTCAGCTTCCATGCGCTGCTGCTCCTGCTGTTCCAGGGCGATGCGCTCAGCCTCAAGCATGCGACGTTCCTCCATCAGACGTTTTTCTTCGCGCTGACGCTCCAGCTCCATGAGACGAATCTCCTCACGACGCTCCTGCTCCAGCTGTGCGGCCTGCTCACGCTCATCGTAGCGGATGCTGTCCTCGGCTTTCACCTTGACTTGGTTAAAGTTGTCGGGCTGCAGGTTCTGTGCTGGGGTCTGGGCGGACACGTATGCTCCAGAGCTGCTGGCATCGTAGGTCTTTATGCCGGCTTGGGGCGCTGATGTGGGCAGAGGTGTATAGGATGGCTGCTGGGGCTGTGGCTGTGGCTGGGCCTCTGGCTGGGGCTGCGGCTGTGGCTGTGGCTGGGGCTGAGCCTGTGCCTCAGTCGCTTGACGCAGTAGGGCTTCCTTGTATAGCTTGAAATGTTCCTCGCGAGCGCGCTGCACTTCAGGCGTATCCTCTATGGCCTGCTGCTGCTGCTGCTGCTCAGTTGAAATCGGAATGGCTTTCACAAGCTGTTCCTGCTGCTGAATGGGCTGTGGCTGCGACTCTAGTGTGTCCTGCTTCTGCTGCTGCTGCAGTGCCTCGTTATAGCGCCTCAGATGTTCCTCGCGAGCGCGCTTCACTTCTTCAGTTTCCTGCACGGGCTTGGGCGAATCCAGGGCAGCATTAGTCTGTGACGTGAAGGCAAACTGCTTGACCAAGGGCTGTTGGGCTTGGGCCTGCTGTTGTGGCTGAGCGGTGAAGATGTTCTGCTTGACGTAAGACTGCTGTGGCAGCGCTGCCTCAGCATTGATCACCTTCAGGCGCGCCTCGTTCCAAATGCGCATTTGCTCGTCGCGCACACGCTGCAGCTCGGGACTCAGGCCGGGCACCGCTTCAAAGGCATTCATCTTGATGATCTGCTCCAGTGGCTCATATTGCGAAAGGATGTTGGCCGCCGGCTGCTTGCCCTCGGCGCGCAAGCGCTCCAGCTCCAGGCGCAGGGCATTGTAACGCTGTTCACACCAGGCACGGAATAGAGCCAAATGCTGCTGTTGTGGTTCCACTTTAGCCGAGGTGCGCACAAAATTATTGTCGGACTGAGCCACGGTGCGTATGCCGTACAGAGGCTCCGGATAGTTGAAGGCAATCAGACGCTCGGCTCCATTGCTGTCCAGATAGCGCGTATAGCCCTGCACAATTTCGCTCTGCACAGGGAATTCGCCGCGTGCCGGCGCATAGGCCAGCAGATTGGTGCGATAGCCAATGGAGTGCGCATGCGCACCCAAGGCCAGCAGGCTGAGCAGCAGCAGACGCATCTTGGTGGATCCTCGTTGGGAATGGAATGGGTCTACGACTAGTAGGACTTTTGGGTTTTTTTACTTGAGCAACGACAACAAAAAAACGCAAAACTTCACTACAACTTCGACGACTTGAGCTGGAAGACTGTTGGCTTTCGGTGCCGCAACCGTTGCCTTTTATAGTCTAAAGGCTAAGAACCGCAAGGGCGCAAGTTCGCTGCCTTGTCCTTGGGCTAACTCGTTTGGTTGGCATGAGGATATGCCAATAAATATTTTGTTACCCCAGGTCCAGCGAATCGGCACGCAGATATCGCATCTCCGGTCTAAGGTATCTGATCTCGGCTCTCAGTCGGTTTGTCTGTCTCGCTGTCTGTTCTCGAACAGTTAATTGAGGCGAGTCTTGGCTGTCAGTCCTGTTGGTTCTTCTTCCGTTATGCTGGCCCGTTCCATTCACCAGCCGCTGCCCCAAGGTCAGCTGATGTGTATTTTTAGTAGCAAGGCCTGCCTGTGTTGCATGTTATGGCCCAGTGCATAAATTAAGCCCAGCAAAGGGCAGCTGCAGCTGCAAACACTGAGATACAGTTGCATGCTCAATCCCCCAGCTCGATTTATCAAATAGCCAGAGCATCGGGCTCGGGCCTTGTAGACGACTTTCGGCCATTATTATTAAGAGCGTCTGTCATTTGTCAAGATATCAATTGATGAAGAGAGCTGGCCAGTTGAGGCCCAAATATGGCGTGCACTTATTTTTAGACGCAACTGTTGTACAGTCGCCGGCCAGACGCGCCTGCAAGACGACCCGTTCCCCATCTAAGGGGGCACATTGACAGGGCTTAACCGGTTCAGAGCATCTCGGTTGCGGCATTTTATATTAAATGCGAATCGGCGCCGTTATATGGGCAATTCACAGACTTATATACACACATTGAGTACATAAAACAGTGGTATATATATGTGTATATACATATATGTAAGGAAAGTCGCCAAGGGTGCCATAAAATAAATTATGCAAATTAAATTATTCGCCGGCCTCAGGAATGTGAAAATCAATTGGAAATTTTTGTGGCTTTTAATTGATATAAA